CCCCTCCTGCCATCGAAGCCTGGCAGCTCCAAGCCTTTCTCATAGAACTGGGTTCCGGTCTTGCTGTCCCCTGACCCCCTGGGTGAGGAGAAGAACAGTGTAGGGCCCCGTGCCCTCAGATTTAGAATAGAGGCCAAGGGGAGCTGAAATGCTCTCAGGAGCCTGGCTAGGCAGACATTCCTGGAGCAGCAAGTGACAGGAGTCCCCCCGGGATCAAACCTCACACACTCCCTTCTGCAACCCTAGGGACCCTCCGTCCTGTGCCTCGGAAGCAGGCATCAGTAGGGCTCAAATCCAGGGGCCCATCACCAGTGGGGCGGGAGCACTTGGGGTCCATCAGGAGGAAAGGCGAGGTCCAAGGTCCAAAGCAGTGGTGAAGCAGACGCACTGGTCCAGTGCCAGGGCTTGGAGGCCAGAGCCTGGCCTGGGTTCCGAGGGGTGGAGCCCGCGCTCAGAGGCCCCGCCCCCTGCGCCCGCCCCGCCCACAGCGCCCCGGCAGATCGCCGCTGCACTTCAGTGCTGGCTGAATCGGAGGGGCCTGGAGCTGAGGTGCCCGGCGCCCAGCGGTAAGCGGTGTCCCAGCCTCCCCGGCCTCCCGTCCCCATGTTCGCCACGTGAGCAACAACCTGTTCCCGGGCGTCTGGGAACACGGCTCCTGTGTCCTCGCCGCTTCCCGGCCACAGCCCCCGCGCCGCCGGCCTCTGGGTCGCCCTTGCCTGGCGCCAGTGAACCACCCCCGCCTCCCGCTCGCTCGTGTCCCACCTGGCTGAGGCTGGGGAGTGGTGCCCCAGACCCAAGGGGGAGGTGACCCTCGCCACCACTTCCCCTTCCCCGAGGTCCCCAGTCATGGCCTGCCTCGGTCCCCACCACGGTCCTTTCGCGGCCGTTTTCCTGGAACAGCTCCGCGACCCACATTTCCTTAGGCTTCTGGTCCTCACTTCCGTTTTCCTTTCCGGAAGAGAGAATGGCGCGTTTCTCCAGGGGCCCCTTTGCCTCAGGTTTCCAGCGGCTTCCCTCAACTGTAACGGGGCTTCTGCACTCCAGGATGGAGGTTCCCTAATCATAGGATGCCCCCCAGGAAGATAGACAGACCTGGCATTCAATAAGAAAGTTGAGTGGGTAATTACCCTGTCAGTATTGCTGACAATTTCCTGACAATTACGCCTTGGAGACTGTGCCAAGCCTTGTTTATTACCTTTACTTTTTGAATTCTCACAGTGACCCCAAAGGGAAATACTAGTTAGGACTGCCTTTCTCAAAGGCAAAACTGCACACAGTACAAAGAGGCTACTCAGGCAGGCTCACAGTGCTGGGAAGTTATTCCCTTCTGGTTTTTTGTCACTTCCCAATTGAAAGAGCATCAGTGAGAAAGCCTCCCTTTGAGCCGGAACTGTGTGTTCAGCACTTCTCACTGTGTAAGGCTCAATCCTGGGAGTGACACATGAGAAAGAAAAGGAATGTATATATGATTTTCTGGCTACGGTCTTACTCTCCTTTTCAGTAGTGGTCATTTTTCATATAATGAACTTTTCATGTAGCTTTATTTTGCATATGATATACCCAAGAAAATATGAATCATTGAGAAGAAAATGGTAAGGAAATCCTGAGGCAGGTGAGAGCAGAAACGGCAGGATCCTTCTGTATCTGTTAGGAGGACCCAGACTGTCTTGCTTATGGCCTTCTATCTCTAGGGTTAATGCCTCTTTTCCTGAATGGAGGGTAACCCTCTGAGGGGAACTGGTCACATGCTCACAGGGTTGATGAGGATGACACAGAACCCGGAACTAAGCCTCCTATCCTTGCTTGATTCTCTGGAAGAAGGAAAATGGTTCTTATGTTAATAATCATAATAAATAAATAGTTGATAATATAGATACTCACTAAGTGCCAACCACATTTTGGCAGTCTGCCAATGTATTACATTCTTTCATCCTGAGAGCCAGGCACTGTGATTTTGCCCTTTAGAGCAGAGGAGACTGAGGCACAGAGAGGTTATGTGGCTAATGACACAGGCTGGGCTGACACTTGCAGGCTGCCTGCAGCCTCCTACCCTGACCCCACACCAGGCACCACGTCATCCCGGGACAGGTGAGCACATGAACACCTGGCACAGAAGCAGCAGTGGGAAAGCACTGACGTGGCTGTCAGGACCCTCTGTGTACACGGTGAGCTCTCTGGCTTCATCCTCCCATCTCCCCAGCCAGAAGCACACCTGGACTGTGTCTGAGCACCCTTACAGCTCTGAATAAGGAGAGGCAGGGTCAGCATCCAGCAGCAGCATTATCAACACAGCGTGGCATGGCCAGGAGGTAAGACGGTAGTTTAGGTTCAGTCCTCTGACTGTGGTGTGACCTTAGGCAAGTTGTGTTACCTCTTTGTAACTAGCAGTCACTCCAGACCATGCAGGTTCACTGAGTTTGCTCAAATGGTGGTATAGTGACTTAGTCTGTGGAGCTTATTGGAGGATATGCACAGGCCCTGTGGGCACCGGATAATCAAGGTTCCTATCTGTGTGTGGCCTCATCCTGAGCATGGTTGCAAACCAATGAGCCTTTCTCCAGGGGCCTATTGGGAACTCCATTAATGTCCGTGTGGATATAGAGATCATAATGGACACCATTCAGAAAGCCTGTGCTTGGAACCAAGTCACTGTCACCTTTATTCCCCCACACTGAAATATCATCTTTTAAATTAATGATTTATTTATATTTGGCTGTGCTGGGTCTTCCTTGCTGTGCTCAGGCTTTCTCTAGTTGTAATTCGTGGACTTCTCATTGTGTTGGCTCCTCGTTGGGGAGCACAGGCTTTAGCGCACAGACTCATCAATTGTGGCACACAGCTGATCAGGAGGCTTAGATGCTCCATGGCATGTGGGATCTTCCCAGATCAAGGATCCAACCTGTTTCTTCTGGATTGGCAGGTGGATTCTTTACCCCTGAACCACCAGGGAAGTCCTTTTATCTTTTTTTATAGGAAGGAGGAAATGGAATCCCAGAGTATCAATAACTTGCCTCCGTCAGGAACTGGCAAGGTGATTGTTAGCAAGGATGCCTGACTCCCTCATACCCATGCACTCAGCGCAGGCTGGCTCTTCGCACTGGGCACATGTAGGCAATCTGCATCCTGAGTTCTGAATCACAAGACTCCCCTTTCTCTTGAACATCAAATAGTAATTCCCTCCAGCGACCGCCAGGGGGTGGGACACCTGGAATGGATTACCATTCACTCAGCACATGGGAGCCTGGCAGGCTAGTTCGTCGGGTGGCAGAGTCAGACAGGACTGAAGCGATTTAGCACGCACGCATGGCAGCACACACTGCTCCCTATTAAACACCACCAGGCCCTTCAAACTGCAGAATAGCCATCATGTGCCGGGGAAGACATGAAGTCCTCTATCTGGTACTCTCAGGTACACTCACTTTTTGCTGGGAAAAAGATGGGAAATTCCCTCCCTTCAAACTGCAGAATAGCCATCATGTGCCGGGGAAGACATGAAGTCCTCTATCTGGTACCAAGTCNCTGCAGAGGAAGGTGTGAAGTTCTCTGTCTGGAACCAAGTCTCAGGTACACTCGCTAGAAAAGAGACTGGAAATTCCCTCCACATCTAAATCAGTTTGTGACTTTCAAGTAGCAAAGGGCTGAATTGTCAAGGAAGGGTGGACTTCAGCCTGACTTAGGGAGGAACTTTCAAAGATTCAGAGCCAGGTCAGCACGGGGAGCTCTCAGGAGAATCGGGTGACTTGTCACTGGAACTGGCCAGGCCAAGCCTGATGTTCCCTCTGGGGATGCCAGGCACAGCACCTGAGGCATGTTTGGTCTCACACTGGGGCATTTGTAAAGTGCTTCCCGCCAAGCTCCTCTCTCCACAGAATTCTCTGGCAAGAATACTGGAGTGGGTTGCCATTTCCTCCTCCAGGGGAATCTTCCCAACGCAGGGACCAAATGCGTATCTGCTGTGTCTCTTGTATTGCAGGAGGATTCTTTACCCACTGAGCCTTCAGGAAGACTAGATTATTAAAATATTTCATTAATGAAAGATAATCCACACACCATAAATTCATGTTTTTAAAAATTTATTTATTTTTGGCCACACCATGTGACATGTGAGATCTTAATTCCCCCACCAGCAATTGAACCCCTACGCGCTGCATGGCAACTGTGGAACCTTAACTATTGGACTACCAGGGAGGTTCAAAATTCACCTTCTAAGGCTTACAGTTCAGTGGTTTTTCAGTATATTCCCAGAGTTCTGCGACCATCACCGCTATGTAATCCCAGAACATTCATCATCTCAAAGACAAGCCTCTATCCAGTAGCACTCACACCTCATTCCTCCCCATAGCCTAGGCCTGCAGCAACCTTTCAACTACTTTCTACGGTTTGCTTAATCTGGACATTTCATATAAATAGAATCATACAGTCGCTGTCCTTTCACATCTGGCTTCTTTCATTAGCGTAATATTCAATATTTTCAAGGTTCATCCATGTAAGCTTGAACCGGTATTTCATTTCTATAATATGGCATGGTACAGATAGATATTTGTCCATTCATCTGTTCCTGGACATTTTTTATTTATTTCCTTTCCGATCATTTTAGTGTTTTAGAAGCAAGCTAAAACATGGAAATCAAACAAGAGGAGCATTAAATAGCATCCCCTGTGAGTACTTTTGAAGATTCACATCACCAAGGACTGAGGTTGTCACAACTCCCCACAGAATTTAAAGAAACTGAAGTTTCTGAGCCATCAATACTCACAATGAGAACAGAGGGGAACCAGTACCTGCCCGATGTCATTGTGTCATGTGGACAAAGTTTTCCTTTTGAACTGAGAAACCGAAGCTCTGAGAGGTAGCCTGACCTGCTAAGACCCTCAGTGTGTTAGAGGCTAATATTTGGTCCAGAGCCCAGTTCTCTGCACTTCCGGTCCGTTCCCCACCCCCAGTCCTCATAGGCATGGAGTCTCTTTGTCCAAGACAAACAAAGGAAAACAGAGCCAGAATAAAGTCAAAAACTTTACTAGAAATCACATGTCTCACAGGAAAAGGAAATGTAGCACCAGGTCAGGTTGTATGAAAATATATATATATATAAATTTGTCATGGTTGCTCTATTGACCACTGGGGCAGGCTCTCCTGGGTATCAGGCGCAGCAGCTGCACTTGTCCGAGGCCCCTTTGCAGACACAGCCCTGGGCACACTTGGCACAGCCCACGGGGCAGCAGGAGCAGCAGCCTGGGGAAGAAAGGAGAGAGTGAAAGTCGGAGATAATATTACACCAAAACGCCTTTCGCAAGAGCAGACCTGCCACAGGCTCCTCCTCCAGGCCTAGAAGACTCTGACTTCAGGATAGAGAGCCGTCTTAAGAAATTTGCTCTGTGACTAAAGGAAAAGGCTGCCCTGCCCCATGTGAGTACAGAATAGTCAGAGGGCCTTGGAGAGACAGTGACAGGGCCTCGGGACCAAGGGAAGGCCCCCCTCAGAAGCATCCCAGGAAGTGAAAGAGTCTTCAGGGTCAGAGAGGAGGCAGACTAGTTACAGAGCTGGTCCCAGGAAGACCAGGTATGCTCTGGGCTGCACTGCAGCAAAGGACATGGTTCCGAGAAGCTACACATGGTCACCAAGTTCAATATGAAGAACTCAGGACACTGGAGGGTTCACAAAGTGGCATCAGAGAAAGGAGACCTGGGTTCTAGTCCCCGATCCATCCTCAACACTATTATGTGACTTCTATGGGCTCAGTTTACCAGTTAACCTTTTGAGAATGAGAGGTTGGTATTGAACAATCCTTATGGCTTGTGTGGGTCTCAATCTGTTTCAGTGCTGAGGGTGGGGGGCGGGCACAGGACATGTAGGGAAGGGTGGTCAGTGTCCTGCTCCTGCCTGCTGAGCTCTGGGTCCCTCTCAGCCCAGACCCCAGGTTCGCAGAGAAGGGGCCACACTCACTCTTCTTGCAGGAGAGACATCTGCAGGCCTTGCAGGTGCAGGAGCCGGCGCAGCTGCAAGAGCCGCCTGTTGGGGAGGGAAAGGCCAGCGGTGAGCAGGGCAGGGAGGGCTCCATCAGCAGGCCCCCTTCCCGTCCTCATGCGTCAGGACCAGCGCTGGAGTGCCCAGTACACTCAGGCAGATAGAGAAGCCCCAGCTTCTCTCTTCCGGTTCCAGGAAAGTAGGTCCCCTCCTGATTTACTCCCCAGGGAAGCCCCCAGGCTCCAGACCCAGCCCAGGGTGACTGTGGGTGGGGGCCAAGTCTCTGTCCTGGAGCTCAAGAGGCCCCATGTCCCCACCGCCCAGCAAGGCCCGGCAGCTCCAAGGCCTCCTCGCAACACTGGGTCCCGGTCGAGCTGTCGTCCCCTGACCAGGTGGGTGAGGACAAGGATGGGCTGGAACCTCAGTACATTCAATTCAATAAGAAGCAGGGATTTCCCCCGTGGTTAAGACTCCCCGCTGCCACTGCGGGGAGACACGGGGTTCCGTCCCTGATCGGGGAACTAAGATCCAGCACCCGTGCAAGATGACAAACTAAAAACAGCAAAAAGGTGGGGCGGGGCGGGGAGTGGCAAAGGGAGATAAATGCTCTCATAATTCTGACTAGGAAAAACCATTGGTCCAATGACAGAAGTCCCCTGAGCACAAACTCCACATCCTCCCTTCTCTAGCTGCCGGGACTTTCTGTCCTACGCCTGGAAGCGCGCATCCTAGGGCTCAACGCCAAGGGACCCTTACCAGTGGGGCAGGAGCAGTTCGGGTCCATTTGGAGAAAAGGCGAGGTCCGAGGTCCAGAGCAAGTGGCAGAGCAGATCCACTGATCCAGTGGGAGGCGTGTTGGAGCCCAGGAGCCGAGCGCTATTATACCCACAGGAGGCGGGCCGGGCGCAGAGGGTCTGCCCCCGCCTGCACCCACGCCGCCCTCTGCGCCCGGGCTGGGCGGTGAGCACTATGCGCGGCCGAGCGCAAGATTCCCGGAACGCGGCAGGGCTACGTGCGCACCGAAACGCCTCCTTCCCCCTACTCGCCCCCAACGCAGAGGGACTTTGTCCGGAGCAACAAGTAGCGCTCCAGGCTTCCTGTCCGCCCCTTCCCAGCTTTCCACGATGTGGGCAGCCATCGGTGTTCCCGGCGTTTACAGGAACCCAGCCCCTGAGTCCTCGCAGCCTTCCCCGCCCCCGCAACTCTTGTCTTTGCTTTCACCCTTTCCCGGAGCCCATGCGCAACCCGAGCCTCGTGCTCACATCCCAGGCTTGGCTGGAGCCCGTGTGTCGTGTGCAGAGACCCGTGATGGACGTGAGCTTCACCATCAATCCCCTGAACCCCGCTTCCCTAATATGTCTTCCCACAGCCCCCACCGTGGACTTTGAACAGAGTTTCTCTGGTTTCTCCTGTAACAGCCCAGCAGCGAACTCAGCCTTTTGTCTCCCAGCCTTCCTTACATTCTCCACGACTGAATAGATGAATGGGCACGTTTACCCACCGAATCCACTGCCTAGCCAGTCCACCCGGCTCCAGGATGGAGGTTCCCTAGTCATACGATGCCCCCTAGGGAAAGCATCCTTGTAAGTGATAGGCAGACCTGGCATTCAATAACGAAGTAAGACAGTGAGTATTTCCCTTTGAGTAGTCCTGACAATTACATACCAGGGAGTCTATGCCAAGCCTTGTTTCATCACTTTTCCTCTTTGAATTTTAACAGGTAAAGGGAAATACTACTTGGGAGCTTGTTTCCCAAAGCAAAAAGTACATCCAGTCCAAGGACGCTACTAACCCAAGGTCACAGTGCTGGGATATGGTGCCCCAAATGCTATTCCTATCTCTTCTTAAGGAAAAGAGTCAGTGAGGAAGCTTCCCTGTGGCCCAGAGGTGTGTGTTCAGCACTTCTCTACTGCATTAGCTCAGTCATGGATGCCGAAGTAGTACGAAAGGAATGCATATATGTCTTAGTGGCTACCATCAATGTCTAGAAGTAAATTGATCTTCATAGCATTAAAGAGTTTGCTTTTCATGTAAATAAATTTATATGTATATAAAATGTTAAGTAAAATCTTGGTGCAGGTGACAGCAGAAATGGAAGAATCCTTCAGTATTTTGTTAGGAGAACTCGGACTGTCTTGCTGATGGCTTGACATCCCTAGTGCCAGCCCCTTTTTGTTGGAAGAGTGGCATAACCCTCTTAGGGAAACTAGTCATCCACTCCCATATTTGATGAGAACAAGAGAGAACACTCAGCTAGCACACCAGCTCCAGCTTATTGGTCTGGATGTAGAGAAATATATCCTATGCTTCAACTGATAAGAGTAGCTGACTATTACTGTATTGCTGACTGTGTGCCAGGTTTCATTCCAATTTCTTTGCAAATATTTAATTATTTAATCCTAAGAGCCAGACACTATTATTTTGCCTCTTAAAGCAGATGAGACTGAAGCACAGAGGTTATGTCATGTGGATGTGACACAGGTGGGACCGGCACTCATGCAGGCTGATGGCAGCCCCCTTGCCCTCACCCCCTACTGGGCACCATGACATCTCACAACAGGTGAGGACACGGAACACCTGGCATGAAAGGAGCCGTGGGAGAGCACTGAACTGGCAGTCAGAACCCTCTGCATAGCTCTGTGACCTCTCTGGCCCTCAGTCTCCCATCTCTCCAGCCAGGAACATAACTGGACCATCTCTGGGCACCCTTGCAGCTCTGAATAGGGAGAGGCAGGATTCAGCCTCCAGGGACATTGTAACCAGCAGTGTGTGGCCAGGAGGTGAGACAGCTGTAGTATAGGTTCAGTCTTCTGACTTCTGACTGTGTGTCCTTGGGCAGCTTGCTTAGCCTCTCTGGAAGATGGTACAATGACCCCAGCCCCTGCGCATTTATTCTGGCACTGGTTCCTGTGCAGCTCAAATGACATGAAGGATGGGAAAGTCTTCTGAGTCTGTCCTGACACTGTGTAGGGTCTTATCCTGTGGGTGTCATTGGAGGGCATCCCCACTCCCCTGGCACTCAGTCAGCAAGGTTCCAACCCATTCCCAGCCTCAGTCCTGGGGAATCCTCCCAAATCCATGAGCCATTTTCTAGCAGTTTGTTGGGGCCTCAGTGGATTCGCCACATATCCACAAAATTTTGTGGGTAAAGTGATTATAATGACCACTTCCTAAAGTCATATCTAGGAATCACCACTATCCCATTTATGCCCCTGCCGTTGAGATGTAATCTCCGTTATACACATGTGAAAATGGAGGCTCAGGCAGTATCAAATACATGCACAAGTCAGATAGTGGCCAGGTAGTTGTAAACAAGGATGCCTGACACCAAAACCATCCCCTCTTCACACAGGAAATCTGTGGGCAAGTGTGGTTCTAACTTCTAGGCCAAGTGACTTGTTTTATGGTTTGTTTTATTTTGCGGGGCGGGGGGCGGGGGGTGAGATTGTACAACAAATAGCAATACCCTGGAGTAGGAAGGGGAAACCTACTCCAGTATTCTTGCCTGGAAAATTTCATGAACCAAGGAGCCTGGGGGGGAAACAGATCCTGGGCTCACAAAGAGTCAGGCACAGCTGAGCCACCTGAGCACACAGGCACGCACATGACTTACTTTAAGTGTCCTTTTACTATTAAAAGATTCCTGCATTTTAAAAAAAATAATGGCAATACCCTCCACAAATGGCCAGGGGCAGTGAGCTTTGATATAAATAACAAGTCACTGGGCTCCTCCCTCCAGCCTAATGACCACCACCTCGCCCTCCAAACTGGGGAATAGCTATCACCTTGTGGACGTGAAGTCCTTCACCTGGAGCCAGTTCTCAGGTACACGCCCTCTTCATGGGAAATAACTGGGTGGTGACTCCTTCCACTTTCACAGTCACTTTGCTGCTTTCATGTAGCCAAGGGCTGGATTTTGAGAGAGGGACAGATTTCAGCCTGCCCTAGGGAAGAACTCCCAAAGATTCTAAGCCAACTCACCACAGGAAGCTGGCTAGGGGTGGTGGCTGTCCCGTCAGTGACCCTGGGCAAGCCAAGGCTGATGTTCCCTGCGGGCATGTGGGGGCAAGAGCTACTTCAGGTGTGTGTGGTCCACACAGTGGGGCATTAGTGAAGCACTTCCAGGAAGGCTTATCCACGGCTTCGACGAACATATGTGTAGCATTTAAAACTCTTAAATTTTCTTATTGGTTCTTCATAGATTGATGAAATTCTGTGTACTGAATCTAAAAATGGGTTGTTTTTTTTACACTGTGACCTCTAAAATTTTTTTAGTACATATACCAAAGTTTAAATCTGTGAGCATTAGAAAATAAAAACTGGCCCTTCAGCAGTGCTTCAGAAGCAAGCCCTATGTAGAAGTAAAACAATTAGGGTTCGGATTTCACCCAGTCTGAGTACTTTCAAAACCTACAAACCTAATAATGCTGAGGCTTGAACTTTGGTAGGGGAAGCCCAGAGAGTGAAAATGAGAAATTGAGGAGTTTCCCCGTCATCGACACTTAAAATAATGAGGACAGTGAGGACCTGTATGTGCCCAATGCCTTTATATTCACTTGGAGGACATGTCCCCTTTTACCTGAGAAGCCAAAGCTCAGAGAGGTAACCTGATCTGTTTACTCAGTGTCTTAGGGGCAACTGGTTAGGTGCAGAACCCAAGTCTGCATTTCCATGCAAGACACGCAAACAAAAACAGAAGCCAGAATAGAGTCAACAAGATTTATTACAATTCATATATTTTATAGAAAAAAGAATGTCGTATCGCATCAAGGTAGTGAGAAAAAATTGTGAAATACAAGTTTGTCATGGTTGCTCTGTGGATACCTGGGGCTGGCTCTCCCCGCCTTCAGGCACAGCAGCTGCACTTGTCCGAGGCCCCTTTGCAGACGCAGCCCTGGGCACACTTGGCACAGCCCACGGGGCAGCAAGAGCAGCAGCCTGGGGGGAGTGACAGTGAGAGATAACATTATGTGAAACATGTGAAACCACCCTTCCCAACAGCAAGCCTGGCACAAGCTGACCCCAGGCCCTGAGGACCTTAGGAAAGTATGCTCTATCTGAAGAAATTCGTCTCTGACACTCTGAAAATTGCTCTGGGTTCAGGACAGGGCAGAGAGCCTAGAGACTGTGGTGGGACCTTTAGGGGCAGTGAAAGGACAGCTGCCACTCCTCAGAGGGCTTCCTAGGTGGCCCTAGTGGTAAAGAACCCTTTGCCAATGCAGGAGACATAAGAGATGTGGGTTTCATCCCTGGGTTTGGAAGATCCCCTGGAGGAGGGCATGGCAACCCACTCCAGTATCCTTGACTGGAGAATCCATGGACAGAGGAGCATGGATGGCTACAGTCCATTAGGGTCACAAAGAGACATGACTGAAGCGAACAGACAGTGAAGTAAGCACGCACACACCCCTCAGAAACAGTGAGGTAAGGAAAGTGGTCAGGTTCAGAGAGGGGTAAACTGCTGCCACAGCTGTTCACCAGGGGTCAGGGAAGGACTGGGCTGCCCATGCAGCAAAGGACCGCACCCCCAGGGCAGAGACACCGCACCTGGTCACCAAGTTCAAGAACCTAAAGTGTCCAGGACACTGGAAGGCTCACAAGGTGACATCAGAGACAAGAGACCTGGGATCTAGGTCTAGTTTCCATCCTTGACCCCATTTGCTGACCTCTCTCAAACTTATTTAGCCATTCTAGAATGAGAAGCTAGAACAGAATCATCTCTCTGGCTCTTTCAGCTCAGATTCTGTTTCAGTGCTGGTGCAGAGGGATGGGGGTGATGTAGGGAAGTCTGGTCAGTCCTGCTCCCTGCTGAGCTCTGGGTCCCTCCTCAGACTCAGCCCAGACCCCGGGTTCCCAGAGGAGGCCCCACACTTACTCTTCTTGCAGGAGGGGCATCTGCAGGCCCTGCAGGTGCAGGAGACAGCGCAGCTGCAGGAGCCGCCTGCCAGGAAGGGAAAGGCCAGTGGTGAGCAGCAGGAAGGAGGAGCCACCACAGACATCAGCAGGACCCTCCCCCTCCTCCTGAGTTGGGACCAGTCCTGGGAGAGCTCCCCTCCACTCAGCCAGATGGAGAAGCCCCAGCTCCTCTCTTCTGGTCCCAGGAAAGAAGATCCCCTTCCCAGGGAAGGCCCCAGGCTCCAGACCCAGCCCAGGTTGACCGGGACTGGGGGCCAGGTCTATGTCCTGAACCCCAAGAGGCACCGTGTCCCCTCCTGCCATCAAAGCCTGGCAGCTCCAAGGTCTCCACCCAGCACTGGGTCCCAGTCTAGCTGTCCCCTGACCCCCTGGGTGAGGACAATGCCTCCCTGCCCGCCCCCTCCCAGTTTTCCCGAGGATGGTAGCCACCCCGCTCCCGGCTTTTTCCGGGAACCCAGCCTCTGTGTTTTTGCCATCTTCCCCACCCCCGCCCCCCGCGCTGTTATCTTCGGGTTCGCCACTTCCCGGAGCCAGTGTGCAACCCTAGTCTCGCGCTCACATCCCACGCACAGCTGCAGCTGTGTGTCGTGTGCAGAGCCCCCTGCCGGATGTGACCTTCACCACCAAGCTCTCCACTCTCTCTTGCCCCACCATTCCCTGTCCTGGTCCCAGCAAAGGGCCCTAGGCAGCGTCTCTCTAACAGCCCCAGGACCAACTCACTCAGGCCTTTGCCTCCCATCCTTCCTTCTGTTCTCCACGACTGAAATGGATGGATGGGCACGTCTTTCCGGGCGCTCTTGCCCTAAACTTTTCAGGGGTTTTCCTGAACCTAGCCAGTCCACCCCATTCCAGGATGGAGGTTCCGGAAGCATGATGACCCCAAGGAAGGGAAGATCATAGCCATGACCTCTTGGACTTCAGTCTCCCATCTTTTCTGCGGTTAGCACAACTAGCCTGTCTCTAGCAAGCCTGCCAGCTCTGAATAATGAGAGGCAGGGCTCAGCATAATATGACCTCGTAATTATTCACCTTTGGCAAGGAGGCAAGACAGCTGTAGTATGGATTCAGACCTCTTGACTACGATCTGTGTGCCCTTGGGCAGGTTGCTTAAACTCTGGGTAATTGGCAGAATCCCTCCATCCCCTGCAAGTTCACTCTGTTATGGGTAGGTCATGTGATATGAAGGGTGGGCATTGAATTTGTGGTTGTCCAAATGGTGTGGCAGCATCATACCCAAGGGGGGCTGTTGCAGGGCATCCACACTCCCCCTGGCAATGGATTCGTACATTTCCAATCAAACTTTAACCTCTCACCTTTCCCCAAGAGCTTTTTGGGATTCAACAAGATTCTGTCCCAATAAAGTCACAGTGAACTGAAGGATCATAATAGACACTGTTTATTAAGCCCTAGTGGGGAGCTAGGCCACTATCACTTAATACCAGGTAGAGGTACAACCTCCTTTTTATAGGAAATGGAGACTTAGAGGATTTGAGAAACTCATTCAGGATATGTGGCAGAAATGCCACTGCCTAAGTGAACCAGGACTGCCTGACACCAGCACCTATGCCCCCAGCATAGGCTGGCTCTAGAAATCCCCTCTTCACACAGGATACCTGTGGGTGAGTGTGGTCCTGACACTTGGGCCATGTGACTTTCTCTTTATCAAATAACAGATCACTCCAAATGTTGTGGGGGTGGAGGGGGCAGGGACCAGCTATGGCCATTGTTTACAAGTCACTCAGCACCCCTCTCTTTCCAAACACACACAGCCACAACTTCGTAACTGCAGAAAGTGACACTGCACTGCACAGGGAGACATGAAGTCCTTCATCAGGAGCCAGTTTCCAGGTATATTCCCTATTGTTGGGAAATGACTGGGCATTACCTCCTAATTCCTAGCCACTTTTCTGGTTTCAAGTAGCCAAGGGCTAGATTTTGAAAGCAGAGTTCAGCCTGACCTAAAGGAACTTCCAGAAGCTTAGAGCCGACTCACTGCAGGGAGCTCTCAAAGGTAGCAGGTTTCCGGTCTCTGGCACTGGATCAAATGAGATGGATGCTCCCTGTGGGGATGTGGGGAGGAGCTACTCCGGGTATGGATGGTCCACATAATGGGACACCTCCAAAGTGTTTTCAGTGTTCAGCATACACCTTTGATGAACAAATGTGTAGTATGTTTCTTTTTTAAACTGAACTATAGTTGATTTACAATACTGTGTTAGTATCAGGTGAACAAACATGGTTACTTGTTAAATTTTTCTTGTATTACTGTTCCCCATGTATTTATTCAAATCTGTCAAATCAATAATTGGACTTTGTATTTTGTGTCCTTGTAAATTTTTATTAGTAATTCACTTAATTTTATTTTGCCAACGTTTAGGTTTGTGAAGATAGAAAATAGAAACCACAGCCAGAAAATTCACACTAGCCTTTCAGTGCAGGGAGTTTGAGAGTCCCAGGTAGGGATGTAGGTAACTAGGGGTGTGAGTCCAACTTCTTTAGAGTCTATCAAGCCTAAAATCTATGAGGAACTGAAGTTACTCAGGGCAATCAGAGGATGGAAAATGAAGCCACTAACCCTTGACATGAGAAGGGAGGGGACCCTGAATCTGCTCAGCACACTTAGTTTATTAGGGATTAACATTTTGTTCTAGTAGCCACATCTCTACAGTTCTCATCCAAGTCTCCTACAGCAGCCCTGGATGGCACAAAAGGCCTTATTCCGAATGCATAGAAAAGAAAGCTGAATCAGAATAGTGTCAACAACCTTTATTACCATTCACATATTTCCTAGGAAAGGGAATGTAGCAATCAAGTCAGAGTTGTATAAAATGCAGGTTGGCCCACATTCCTCCATTGATACCCGGGAGCAGGCTCTCCCTGACATCAGGCACAACAGCTGCACTTGTCTGAGGCTCCTTTGCAGATGCAGCCCTGGGCACACTTGGCACAGCCCACGGGGCAGCAGGAGCAGCAGCCTGTGGAGAGATGGGGGAAAGCAGGTGTCAGCAATGCATTTCCCAGGCACCTCCCTGCCCAACAGTAACCCTGTGGCAAAGCCCTCAGACCTAGAGAACCCTGAGTGCAGAAAAACATGCCCTAAGACAGCTTGGAGGACCTTTGGCATTTGAGTCCTACTAGGAAATGGCTGCCTGGCTCCATCTAAGCCCAGGACAGGGCAGAAAGTTAGAAGCAGCAGTGACAGGTGGGTGCCCAGCAGCAAAAGAGGGCCAGGACCCCAGAACCATGCACTCAGAACCCATTCTGGGTTCCCTCCCTCCCCCAAGCTGCAGCACTCCCCACCCACCACCTCCCTGGGTTTCCATAGGAGTCCCCACACTCACTCTTCTTGCAGGAGAGACATCTGCAGGCCTTGCAGGTGCAGGAGCCGGCGCAGCTGCAGGAGCCGCCTGCTGGGGAGGGAAAGGCCAGCCGTGAGCAGGGCGGGGAGGAGGAGCCACTGCAGACATGGCAGGGCCCTCCCCCTCCTCCTGGGTCAGGACCAGCCCTGGGAGCTCCCGTCCAGCACAGAACAGACAGCAGGCTTATTCCCCCACCCCCCACCCCAGCCCCCTGCTCTGCCCTTCGGTGCAAAGGGCTATGTACTGTCTTGCATTTACCCCCAAGGATGAGCCCAGGCTCCGGTGCCCATTCAGGAAGCCTGGATCTGATGGCCAGGACCTTCTGTCTGAGCCCGGAAGGGAAGGGGCAATATCCCCTCCCCCACCCAGCCTAGGCAATACGGAGGCCTGGACAGAGCACTGGAGCCGACCCAGAGGCTTCGTGACACCTGGATGATGTGAGACCGGGCAGCCTTGAGCCTCAGGTCTCTTGCCTCTGAAACGGAAGACTCTAGGAGGAAGGGAAGGCTCTAATGGGAGCTGAAGGCGCTAGTTGTGGTAGAAAGCACATGCTGGGTTAACTACAGACGCTCACCCAAAATACTCCCTCTTCTAAACCCAGGGACACTTCTTGGTATTGGGGAGGGGACATCGGAAGTCCCGGAGCCAGGGATCCCTTACCAGTGGAGCAGGAGCAGTTGGGTTCCGCTCCGCCGCGCTGGGCTGAGCGCACCTGGCGGCGCCCGCCCAGCGCAGGTTCAGTGAGCAGGACTTCGGTCCGTGCGCAGTGCCCGGACCGCCCTCTTTGGCACGAGAACTCGCGGAGGGAAGGGGTGCCGGGTTGCTCTCGGTGTCCCAGCTTCTCTGCCCGCCCTTTCCCAATTTTCCCAAGGTAGGATGCCACCTTTGTTCCAAGAACCCAATCATCGGTCTTCGCCACCCCAATCCCCTCCCCCGCACCCTCGCCGCCCGTTCCTTTGTACTCAAGTTCTCAAGTTCGTCCTTTCCGGAGCCCGTGTGCAACCCCAACCTGTGCTCACGTCCCTGCTGAAAGGGGGCGGTGGAAAACCCCTAGCATTTCCTCCCCCGGTGCTCAGAAGGCCTTTGGCCCTGTTTTTCTGTCTCAATTCAAGGCGCGCCCGGCGGCGTCTCCTTTGAGTGTAAACTTTGAGTGAAACGGCCTCTACTTCCATCCTTCCTCCTCTCTAGTTTGAAGGGATATATGGGCACATTTGTCTGGGTCCTTTGCGTTATCTCTACAGCCTAGCCACCCCACCTCACTCCAGAAAAGATGTTCAGAATGTGGGATGCGTCCAGAGGGATTTTTTTTAGGTGATATTTAGACCTAGCCTTACATAACATACCATTTTGTCATTGTTTCCCTTTCAGTATTACTATTTGACAGCATTTTGTGTGTGTCACATCAGGTTCAATTTTTTTTTTTATCTTTAATCCCTCACAATGAATCTAAAAGAGGGACACTATTATTTATGAGCCCATTTCGCTGATGGGAAGGGAAGTCACAAGGATGTTAAGTAACTTGTCCACAGAGCTAGGAATTAGTGCCACTGGATCTGAGTCCAGTCAGCTTCCCAAGAGAAGGAGAAATGTCAAGGATCAAGTTTTCCTTTGATGTGTCTTCAATATCAGTGTACTGCTTGAGATCTTTTAAAGAGAGATAGGCCTCAAGCTTATTAACTCTCTAGGCTTGTGTTGTGATTTTTGTCCCAGGGACCTAGACTGTCTTTTCCTCCTCCAAGACACCACACTGGTCCATTACGTTGATGGTATGCCGATTGGAGCTAGTTGCAAAACATAGCAAGTACTCTAGGCTTATGGGTAAGACTGCAATGGCGCTAAGAAAGCATATGTAACAGAGGAGATCCGTTAGGGCATCTCTTAGTACTACCCTGCTCTGAGATTAAAGTCAGTGGGAAACTACTATAACAACCCAATCAAGGCCAGACTGATAAAGGCCCAGACCCTTCAAGAATGAAGGTTTAGGGTCAGCCCACCAGATCAAGAACCATGACCAGATGAGGTCCAAGCAAGGGGCAAAGTGAACACAGAGTAGGCAGAAGAAGGTATTTATAAATGTCAGCTGTGACCATATGACTGGTTCCAGAAACAGAAGTGACACCTGTAACTATTATGAGTACTTCTTCATTATTTTCTTACAAATATGTAATATACATAAATATGTAAATAATATAATATATTTGTTGTTGTTTAGTCACTCAGTTGTGTCCATGACCCCATGGTCTGTAGCCCGCCAGGCTCCTCTGGCTATGGGAATTTCCCAGGCAAGAATACTGGAGTGGGTTGGCATTTCCTTCTCCAGGGGATCTTTCCTATTCAGGGATCAAACCTGCATCTTCTGCATTGGCAGGCAGATTCTCTACCCCTGAGCCACCAGGGAAGTGTATGTAATATATATATAAATAGGTAAATATATATATATATGGCAAATATATTTATTTGCTTTATTTTCTTCCCTCTTTTATTCCCTTCTCATGTAACATAGAATGTATTGACTGTATATTGTAGTTTTTATGTATTGTTAATATCACAGTATTTAAGTTACATGATAGCAAGTACAAAAGTGACCATCACCCAAGGACTTTGCATCCTCCTTTGAGGACAGTGTTATACATTTTCAGTTGTAGGTAAGGTAGTTGTGTTGTGTTAGACAGAAGTATGATCTTGCTATTGTCTTTGTTGGGAGATTAAGTATGGTGTAAAAGGTTGTATGGGTGACAAGTGAGGTTGTATGGGTGACAAAAAGGTTGTATGGGTAACCATCTGTAATGGTTAGTTTTACATGCCAACATGTCTAGGTTATCATACCCAGTCCTTGATCACACATGCTAGTCTGATGTTGCTGTGAAGGTGGTTTTTTTCTTTTTTTACATGATGAACATTTAAATCAGTATACTTTGAGAAAAGCAGATTACCCTTCATAATGTGGAAGGCCTCATCCAGTCAGTGGAGGCCTTAGAGAAAAAATGAGGTCTCTTGAAAAGGAGAGAATTGGGCCTCCAGATGGCCTTTAAACTCAGGGTTGCAACCAACATCAACTCCTACTGGAATTTCCAGGCTGCTGGCTGGTCCTGCAAATTTCAGTCATGCCAGTTTCCACAGTTACGTAAGCCAATTTCTTAAATCTGGCTCGCTCTCTCTATCTACATCCTACTGGTTCTGTTTCTTTGGAGATGCTGATACAAATATATTTTAAAACATATAAATCATTTAAATGTTAAGTAAAATACTGGTGCAAGTGTGGTAGCAGAAATCGCAGCAGTTGTCTGTATGCACCATAAGGGCACAGACTGTTGTGCTCGGGGTTATAAACCCCCCGTGCTGATCACAAGTTTGTGAGAATCAATGACTCTTTTTGGACCACAGGTCACATGCTCAAGTGGCTGATGAAGACAACACAGGACATACACCTAGGCACGCCAGCACTGCTTCTGTGTCTAGAGGGTACTTGAATAGCCGCTATTTTATGAATAATAATGATAATAATAAATAGCTGACATTATAGACCACTCACCATATGCCATGTACCATACTAAGTTTTTTACATGTATTAGTTCTTTAATCTCCTGAGTCATATGCTTTTGTTTAAAAAATATTTATTTATTTGGCTGTGCCAGGTCGTAGCTGTTGCTTGTTCCCTCACCAGGGATCGTACCTGGGCCCCCCGCATTGAGAGCGCAGTCTTAGCCACTGGACCACCAGGGAAGTCCCTGAGCTGTAGGCTTTTATTTTGCCCCTCAAACAGTGGTCGAGACTGAGCCAGAGAGAGGTTACGACGTCCTATGACTGTAAGGACTGGTACTCTTGCAGGCGGACTGCAGCATTCTGCCCCCACCAAGGCTCCTACACCCCAACTTCACACGACCAACAAGGATGCTGAAAGCTGGCACAGGGGCAGCAGTGGGAAGTGCGCTGAGCAGGCAGCTCTGTGATCTCTCTGGAATTCAGTTTCCCACGTGTCAAGTCAGGAGCAAATTCAGACCTTTTCGAAAGGTACTTCTACCTCTGAACAGTGAGAGGCAGGGTTTAGCATCCAGTGACATGGTGATCTACCAGCTGTTGCCAAGGGTTGAGATCAGCTGTAGTATAGGTTCAGGCCTCTGACCTCTGAGCTGTGTGTCCTTGGGCAGGTTGCTTAACCTCTCTGAAACTGTCACAGTCACTCCAGCCCCTGCACATTCACTCTCTCACTGGTTCCTGTGCAGATCAGATGATGTGGTTGGGAATGTGTCCAAATGCTGTGGCAGCATCTTGTCCTGGGGGTGCTCACTGGAGGTCATCCATACTCCCTTTAGCACCAGATCAGCAAATTTCCAATCCCACCCTTAACCTCCAGCCCAGAGTATTGCTTCTAAACCAATGAACCTTTCCCCAAGAGCTTGTTGGGAGCTGAAAGGATTCTCTCTCTGCGAATGTCAGTGTGGATATAGTGATCAGAGTGGCCATTGTTTATTAAGCCAGGACACTATCATTTAATCCCCACGTAGAGATATAATCTCCTTTTCACAAATGAGAAAATGGGGGCTTCCCTGGTGGCTCAGTGGTAAAGAATCTGCCTGCCAGTGCAGGAGCCACAGGTTTGATCCCTGATCCAGGAAGATTTCACAGGCCATGGAGCAGCTAAGCCCATGTGCCACAACTTTCAAGCCTGTGCTCCACAACAAGAGAAGCCACTGCAGTGAGAAGCCTGTGCACAAATAGAGAGTGGCCCCTGCTCACCACAACTAGAGAAAAACCCATGCAGCATCAAAGACCCAGCACAGCCAAATATATATATATTTTTAATGGGAGAATGGAGACTCAGAGATGTTGAGTAACCTGTCCAGGGCTTACCACTGTGGCAAAATAGGCTGTGAACTGCAACACCCATACCCTCAGCACAGGCTGACTCCTGGGATCCCCTCTTTACCTAGGGCACCTGTGGGCAAGTGTGGTCTTGACTTCAGAGCCACATGACTTGCCTTTCCCTTTTATTTGACATCAAATAGCAATTCTCCCCACAAGCAGCCAGGGGGGACTAACCGTTGGCATTAATTACAAGTCACGGGACACCTCAGTCCTGCCTAACAAACACCACCACACCCTCCGAATTGCCATCACCTAGCTTTGGCAGACATGAAATACTCTCATCTGGATCCAATTCTCAGGCATCCGCCCTCTTCATGGGAAATGGCTGGGTAATTCCCTCCAATTCTCTGGTTACTTTGCTGTTTGCAGGTAACCAAGGGCTGGATTTTGGAGGGACCGATTTCAGCCTGAGCAACGGAACAGCTTCCAAAGGCTGAGCACCAAGTCCCAGCAGGGAGCTCTCAGAGCATTGGGTCTATTGTGAGTGGCACTGGGCAAGTCAATTGCCTGTTCCCTGTGTGGATGCCAGGGGTGGGAGGGCAGTGCTATGCGAGGTGTGTGGGGTCCACACCCGGGGGCTATTTTATGAACTGTTTCCGGTTGTCCTTGGACACTTGATGAATGTCTGTGTAGCGTTCCTTTTTTTTTTTGACTGCACTTGGTCTGAGTTGCAGCATGCAAGACCTTTAGTTATGGCATGTGGGATCTAGGTACACCACCAGGGATCGAACCCAAGCCCCCTGCATTGGGATTGCAAAGTCCTAGCCACTGGATCAGGGAAGTCCCCCTAGCAGTATTTTAAAATCTGATTTTGTTTGTTCATATAGTGATTGAAATGATGTGTGTTGAATCTAAAAATATGGGCTTTGTGTTGCTCCTTTATGGCATTTTTATAGTAATTATTATTTTTTTTTTTTACCAATGTGTGATGGATGGGTAGTAAAATATGTTCCTTCACCACAGGGATTTATTTTAGAAGCCCCATTTATATTCAAGCAGGAGGGGTTTTAGTTACTTTCAAGCCTAAAACCCAAGAGGAA